ATGGTGAGTGATCTACATAACTGTGTTTCCATATTACTCTTTTCGCCTTGAGAAGTGGTTGCAGCACTCATCCATGAAGTTTGTTAAACTGAATATTGAAAAAGCAAACCACCTAGTAGCCCCCTATACATTTTAAAGCCATTTCTCCCATCCCTGGCCACTCAGCTTTAACTACACGTAGGGATAAGTAAAGGCATGCTTTACGAAGCTTGTTTACTGGATATTATTCACTGAGAGAGCCATCTGTATGGCAGCTCTAATCAATAAGGTTATTTCAAGCAATAATAACAGTGAGATCGTCTCTGTGTGTGCACTGTGCTAAGTCCTTTATATATTATTCACGTAACCCTCATGAGAAACCTACTAAAATATAGGTTAAAATAATCTTAAACCTTGAAAACATGATGATGACTGAAAAAAGCCAGTCACAAAAGACCATGTAATACATGATTCTGTATGTATGAAATGTCCAGAACGGGCAAATCCATAGACAGTACAATGACATAGCGGTGATGGTTGTACAACTGTGTGAATGGACTAAACCCATCAAACTGTGTACTTTAAACGGGTGTGTTGTCTGGTATGTGAATTACACATAAACAAAGCTATCACAGAACATGCACAACAGCAGACTAGCCGCGAAGATTTAAAACATGACAGAGGACGTTTTCAAGACCCATGTGAACTGAGTTTAAAAACAAACAAAAATGATGAGAAAGTGAAGTCCATCGTGCCGACGCAGAGGCGGTGTGACAGTAATGCCCCTGGATCATTGGAGTAGACAACTGGTTGCCATCAGCTCAGCTCTGACTTGGGCGCCCCGTGTGGGTCAGGGCAGAACTGGGCTCCGGAGCGTTTTCAGTGGCCAGTTACTGGAAGGAGATCCCCAGCCTTTCTTCCCAGGCGTCTCCAGGTGGATGCAATCTTCCGGTTAGCACTGAGCGCTTTAACGGTTCACACCACCCAGGAGCTCCATCTGTTTAACATGCTTTCCAAGTTTAACGTATTCTCTTACGGTGTTGTGATTTTTTGTTGTTAGCCACCCATGAGTGGAGTCGCAAACTCCTTTAACTGGAACGTTGGCGCAAACAGCTCTATCCTCTAACATTGTTACCATGAGTTGAAGTCACTTTTAAACCATTACCCACAGAGTTCAGGACAAGGGTGGAGTGGGACAGTTCTGCAGGCTGCAAGCCTGGGCTTTACGACCAGACAGAGGAGGAAGCTAGGAAGAAGTATGTTTTTCTGTTGGTGATAAGTTGTCCATGCTATTACTGATTGCTGGCTCTCCCCTCACCCCCTCAATTCCCAGTCGCAGACCTCCGTGCCCGTGGACTCATTTTTCTCTCTGCTGACCAGCAGACAAGTGGCCAAGCAGTTCCCAGTGATGACTGAAGCCATATCCCAGATTCGGGCAAAAGGCCTTCAGACGGCAGTCTTGAGCAATAATTTCTATCTTCCCGATGGGAAAAGCTTCTTACCCCTGGACCGGAAACAGTTTGATGTGGTAAGCTTGAAGTGGCCCACAGCAGTGGAGCAGGGTCTCTGCCCTTGTCTCAGGATGCAGCATTATATACTGCCTTTAGCAGGAAGTGAGTGAATGAGTTTTCATTTACTCATTTGACTGAGTCAGGTTTAGACATCAGTTGAAAATGATTTTAAATTGTCACTCGGCTCTTAGCAAGGCCAAACATTTAGGGAATTTGATGACTGCTTGACACTTCAGGCCTCGTTGTTGTTGTTAGGTGCCATCGAGTTGGTTCCGACTCAGAGTGACCCCATGTACAGCAGAATGAGACACTGCCTGGTTCGGCACCATCCTCAGTAGTTGTCCTGTTTGAGCCATCATTGTAGTCACTGTGTCAACGCATCTCATTGAGGTCTTCCTCTTTTTCACTGACCCTCTACCTTACTAAGCATGACGTCCTTCTCCAGTGACTGGTCCCTCCTGATAACACGTGGCAGAAATGGTGTAGGGGCGGTGTCTTCTGACCTCCTCTAACTTCACAAAGGGAAGGAGAATCACCACTAGCAGCAACCAAGGCTGATTCCTATGAGGTCAGACATGCTGCCACCCTCCAACCTTTTCACCAAATCTGACACCGACTGTACCTCCCATGACACTCAACTTCTCTGCTGGGTTCAATAACTTGTTGCACTGGCCACACAGAACTCAGACGTAACACTCACGATTATGGGGTTTATTAGGGAAGTAACAGGTTTAGGAAAGCTTGGGATACAGTTCTTCAATCAAGACAGCCTCCCCTTGGCCACATGTCTCTTTGGCCCTTGGCTTCGCAGCCTGGCCTCAAGTGTTACAAAGCTCTTTTACCTCTGCCCATGGGTGCCCCCCACTCCGCCAGCAAGCCCCCTGCCCGCACTCTGCTTTCTCGCTCCATGGGTTGACAGGCCTGCTGTTCCATCTCGTGCTGGTCTGTTGGTTCTGCTGCCTCTGCAGTCGCCATCTCTCCTTGTCATCTCTTCTGGTCGTCTCAGTGCAGGGGTCTCGAGACGGTCCAAAGGACATGCTCCAGCCCTGGCTCTTCTTTCTTGCTGGTAACAAGATCACCCCTTTCCATCTCTGGAATGCCTCAGTTTAAGCCTAGCAGAATGGCAAAACTAAGCAATCCCCAAGTTAGAGTTCTGTAACCTTATTTGCGTAGTCCCACCCGACAAGAGTGCCATGTACCTTATTTGCATCATTAGCAAGCTATCCAGTCCCTGTGATAGGCCACAAGCGCCACACATTTGCATAGTCCCACCCACTCATCCTAACCAGAAGGCTGGCGGTTCAAACCCACCAGCCACTCCTCGGAAGGAAGATGGGGCAATCTACTTCCATACTGATACTGCCTCGGAAATACCGCTATGATAAGGAGGGGTCGCTATGAGTCGGGTCCGACTCCACCGCACATTAACAACAACAACAAGGTGAAAGTTTACAGAGCAAATCACTTTTCCCATTCAACAGTTCATGCACATTGTTTCATGCCATTGATGGTGGTCCCCATGATGTAACATCACTCATCCCACTTCCTCCCTGGGTTTCCCTTTCCTATCCTTTCTTGCCTTCTGAACTTTGTTTCTAGGCAAATGCTGCCCTTTTGATCTCAAATAGTTGACTGTTTTAAGGAGTGTCATCTCCCTGGTGGTATTGTTCACCTTACAAACATGTCTATTATTTGGCTAGAAGTTGAGCCACAGGGGTGAGTTCAGTTCCAGGCTTGACAAGTGACTAAGGGCCATAGTCTTGGGAGTTCCACCAGTCTTTATCTGGCCAGTGACAATGGCTTTTTTTTTTTTTTAATTTTGAGTTTTGTTCCACATTTGCCCCCCACTCTATCTAGGACCTTCTAATGCAGTCCCTTTCAGAACAGTCAGCAGTGGTAGCTGGGCACCATGTAGTTCTTCTGGTCTCAGGGTTTTATGGAGGCTGAGGTTTGCATGGTCCATTACTCCTTTGGACTGAATGTTTCCACGCATCTTTGATTTTCCTCCCTCTTCTTTGCCCCAGATGGGGAGAACAGTAGTTGCACCTTAGATGGCTGCCCACAAGCTTTTAACACTCCACTTGCTACTCACCAAAGTAGGATGTAGAACATATTCTTTGTGACTGTATTGTGCCAATTGACCTTGATGACCTAAGCCCCTAGACCCAGCATTCCCTCAAGGTGTTGGTTATGGCTAATAATGTCATTTGATTTCTTGACTGCTTATTCCATGGGCATTGATCATGGATCGAAGCAAAATGAAATCCTTGACAACTTCAGTCTTTTCACCATTTGTCGTGATGTTGCTTACTGCTCCAAGTTTAGAGACCCCCTTAAGTTCTGGATTTGGACCTTACTCTTCAAATAACACAAACTTTTCCTCAACCCTCACATCTTAGTGGGCCCTTTGGCTGTTTCTCTTCTAAGACCAACCCTGTTGCCCCCAAATCCAGTCGTTCTGATCCTAGACTAGTGCTATCCAATAGAACTTTCTGCAGTGATGCAAATGGCCTGTCTGTGCTGTCCCATGCATTCATCACTAACCCCTGTGGCCCTTGAGCACTTGAAATGCAGACAGTGCCTCTGAAGAACTGAATTGAAATCTTATATTTAATTTTTAATTGATTTTAATTTAAATACTACATATAATTTGTGGCTACATATTGAATGGCACTCTGAGAATACACTGAGTCAAGAGGTAGTCTTCTGTGCCAGGAGCTCATTTCTGTGAGTGATTCCCTATCTACTCAGGAGAAAACAGGGCATTATCCCAGTGAGGTGGAGCTTCTCGATAGGTGACTGTGACCTGCGTAAGCTTCGTTCATGCTCTGTTTGCTTCATTCGGTGTGATGACAAATTCTCATGGAGGGTTAGTGTGGAAGGTGACAGACATGGTCTTTGCCCTCTACAGCTGTATACCGGCCACATTTTAAGTGCTCAGTAGCCACATGGGGCTCTCAAAGCAAACACACTGCCATCAAGTCAATTCTGACCCCCAGTGGGTTTCCAAAGCTGTAAATCTTCACGGAAGCAGAATGTCTCATCTTGCACATAGTGGCTGGTGGGTTCTGGATTTGGATCTTACTCTACCGACCTTTTGGTTAGCAGTCAAATGCCTTAACACTACACTGCCAGAGCTCCATCCACATGTGGCCAGGGGCTACCATATTGGACAGAGTAGATACAGCATGTCTGTTGTTTACTGGCCAGATGTTGCCTGGCTCCCTACCTGCTTGGACTGTTGATTTCCCCAATCATCTGCAGCTCTGCTCTCCTCCAACTACACTGCCAGAGCTCCATCCACATGTGGCCAGGGGCTACCATATTGGACAGAGTAGATACAGCATGTCTGTCATTTACTGGCCGGATGTTGCCTGGCTCCATACCTGCTTGGACTGTTGGTTTCCCCAAATCATCTGCAGCTCTGCTCTCCTCCTCCAACTCTGCTTGGGCCTCAGCAGGCTCCAGGGAAAGTCCATGGAAGCCCGGGACCCCCTTCAAGATAGCACTAGAGCAGGGTGCTTAAGAGTGTGGATTGTGGGTCCCCTAAGCCTGGGTGCTCTGGTAGCATAGTGCCTAAGGCACTTGACTGCTAACCAGGCTAGTGGTTCAGACCCACCAGCCACTCCTCGGAAGGAAGGTTGGGCAATCTACTTTTGTAGTGATACTGCCTTGGCAACCCAAGGAGGGGTCACTATGAGTTGGGTCTGATTTGACGACACATAACAACAACAACAACAACAAGAAGCCTGGGTGTGAAGCCTGCCTCGGCAGCTTACTGGCTGTGTTCCCGTGGGCGGTTGCTTCTCTTCTCTGAACCTCAGTCTCCTCACCTGCGTACAGGAGTGGTACACACTCCTTTGTCCTGGGCTGGCTGTGAGGTCTCCAGGAGGTAATGCCTGCACAACTGTCTGCACGGTGCCTGGCCCATGGTGAGATATTCTGTACCTTGGGACCGTTGTTAGACTGCTCCTATCAATGCAGCAGTAGGAATAGGGTTGTCATCTGGACAGACCTTCAGCTACAAGCTGCGGTCTGAAAGACCTCGGGTTCTTTTCAAACAGCAAACATTTTCAGATTCAGGAGGCCCTCTGATGTGTGCTGCTCAACAGCTTTTCTCCTAGGTGTTCATACAGTAGGTCTGCAGGAGACCTGGAGTTTTGAAAACTGATATCCTTAAGCCCAAGGATTTAGCTATAAGGGAAAGATAAATATTTTGGAGGAGGTAAACGTAGGATAACCACTCCATTGAGTCTGCTGACAAGAGAGGCAGTTTTGAGCTCTTTGGCAGTGTGCTAGGAGTCAGATTTTCCCAGAGGTAAATGTGGCTTTAAAAAAATGAACATTTACTAGATGCCAGCCAGTGCTCAGCAGCTAATCTGCTTATTACGCCCTCAACAACCTGGGAAGTGAGTACAAGCATGAATCTCATTCTGCAGCTGAGAGAACAGACTCAAAGAGGTCAGCGGCCATGGCCAAGGCCCCTTAGCTGGGCAGGGACCGAACCGACTTCCGTTCCTTTGATTTCACTCTTAACCTCTATGCTGCCTGCCCGACTTCCCCAGGAAACTGCTCCCCACGGAGGCCCTCCCCTCAAAGGCTCCTCTGTCCTTTGTGTTTCTTTCTGGCTTCTGATCTGGCGGGTGGCAGCAGCGATGATGCCCTCTAGAGACTCCACAGCTTAGGTGGGCCGTAGAGGAGGGCTCCCACATCTTCCTTGGAGTCTTCCGGGCCAGGGGCCTCTTTCCTCTAGCCCCTTCCTCCAGGGAGAGGTGACTCAGTGTAACTGGACATCCTGGGAGTCCTGGTGGCCTCAAATACACCTGGGGAAATTAATAACTTGAGGGTCGTACATTTCATTAAGAGAGCCCTTTCCTGGCTCTTTCCACGTTTGGCAGAGGGACTTTGGTTTGACCCCAGGGAGCGGTGCGTCTCCTGCCCCGGTCCTAGATCCAACCATTCCTGGGTGTTTGTGCCTCTAATTGGACCATGAGATTCCAGTTGGAGTCTCCAACTCCGACTACCGTCCACCTGCCCCGGGGGCTGTAAAGGCAGCTTTCACAGGGGCTTTTGAAGAGGGTCTGGGCGGGGCCTGGCATGTTTGTTTCTGAAGCGCTCCAGAGCCTCCTGAACCCATCTGGGGTGAGCGCCCTGAGATACAGGCCGGGCCCCAGGCCACCAGTGATGTTCACTGCCGCACAGCGTCCATAGGTCACGCTGCCCTTGAGAAGGCTTCCCTCTCCCTTCTTCCTGGAGCAGGCCCTCGATGAACTAAAACCATCTTTTATCTGATTTCTATTTGGACAAACACTGGCCTTGTTCATCCAGTCCTTGGTTGACAGGAAGGGAATGGAAACCTTGAACAGGTTCATGTGCGAAATAGAGCCAAAAGAGAAAGGCCAGGAGTCTTACCAAATTTCAATCTAAGAACTTTCTCATTTCCCCGAAACATAATTGACCTGGGAGAGGACCCGAGTCTGCTTGCGGGAACCGAGGCCCTGAGTTCTCGCCTGTCTCTTCCTGTCTCTTCCCGGCTCCACCCGGCTCCACCCGGCTCCACCCGTCTGTCTCCACCCGTCTGTCTCCACCCGGCTCCACCCGTCTGTCTCCACCCGTCTGTCTCCACCCGTCTGTCTCCACCCGGCTCCACCCGTCTGTCTCCACCTGTCTGTCTCCACCCGTCTGTCTCCACCCGTCTGTCTCCACCCGGCTCCACCCGGCTCCACCCGTCTGTCTCCACCCGGCTCCACCCGTCTGTCTCCACCCGTCTGGCTCCACCCGGCTCCACCCGGTAGCACGGTCTCTGCTGATGCCTCCACTCCCCTGCTGCACACCTTGGGTGTTTCCATTAGGGAAGCCTCTGTCTGTCCGTGGAGCTCATTCTGGCCCTTGGCACACAGGGGACAGTGAGTAGATAGGGGGACATCTATTTCTCTGAGAGGCCCACAATGCAAATGTGGGGTGGGGGGCCCTTGGATTTGTCCTCACTCTTGCAGACTTTGGGTTGTTCCAAGAGAGAGTCAGAGGTTTGGTTCCGTTCTCAGGGCAGACCTGTATATGGCCATCTTGGGCTCATCCTATGGGAGGGTAGTGTAAGAGGGGACTTCTAAGGGGAGAGTTGGGTCACAGATAACCTGCCACCAAGGCAGCTTTTTCAAGCTTCTCCCAAGCTCTCAGCAGACCTCCCTGGTTCTGGACAAGACACATGCCTGCAGCAGGGCTAGCAGGATACAGGAGGCCCTTAGCAAGAAAGGAACAGTGTCTTTGCTGGGGACAGGCTCTTCAGTGTCAGCTCAGCCCTCCTATGGGATTGGTCTGTGTACACTGAGAGAGAGAGAGTGTGTGTGTGTGTGTGTGTGTATATATATATATTAACCTCTGAAATATAGACATTAAGGGTTTACATGGTAGCAATAAATGGTAGCTTCTTTCTGAAAAAATGATGAAATGCTTCCCATACAACTAAAATGCACAGCCTTCCTTGTACTTGGGGTAGCCCCAGTGTCTGACATTGGCAACATGCTCGCTCATTTTAGAAGTTGTCCAAGTCTCCCATGAGCCTCCCAGCACCTCTGACTAGGTGACATGGCCATCATTATCCCATTCCATGAACCTGAGATGCCTTGGGCTCTCAGTGGAACTCTGGTTTCCTGCGTCTTCCCCCAGCTTGGAACCCTCAACTCAGAAAGGCAGCACTGTTTTACATCGTCACACTCTGGAGTCACTTGTTACGACAACACTCAACTATCCTCCACTGTGGCTTTTCAAAAAGCATGCCAGCTTGCGTGGGGGAGGGCCGCCTTTGAGGGACAGTCACCTCCTGTTGCCGTTGCTTCCACAGGTTGTGGAATCCTGCCTGGAGGGGGTCTGTAAGCCTGACCCCAGGATCTACAAGCTGTGCTTGGAGCGGCTTGGCGTGCAGCCCTCTGAGTCCATCTTCCTTGATGATCTTGGACCAAATCTAAAAGCGGCAGCCAGCCTCGGTATCCGCACCCTGAAGGTAACGATCGCCAGCAATCCCTGAGAGTCACCGTTGGTGGAGCCCTGCTGTGTGCTTACCAGTGGGAGCGTTTCCCTGAGTCCTTCTACGTGCAGATCTGGAGCCATCTTAGTCGTCTTTCTGCACGCTGCTCAGTCGTCAGGATTTTCATTAAGAGAAATCTATCTGTGTGACTAGCTGCTTGTATTTTTCAGTTGGAGGCAAGACAGATCAAACACGTATTAAGAAGGCAGTTTGAGAAGAGCTATAAGCCAGGAGGTGAAGGGCAGGGTTAAGACACTTAGGTGGCCACCAGCCTGTCCAGGTGATGTTGCCTTGGTTGGGGAACCTGCAGCTGCCAGCCACACGGGCCCCCCAGAGTCAGGGCTGTGAAGGGTGGTCTTGACCCAGGTTCTGCATTTGGGTTTCCATTATTAAGCTGATGGGACCAGAGGGACTAAGTGGATAAGGTGACACCATCTCCTGCCCTCTCAGTACCAGGGAGTGTCACAGACTTTTAAGTGGCATTCTTCCCAGCAGATAGCAGTTTCATGTGGTGGAATTAATGGGAATAGGAAACTTACTCTCCTGTTGCCTCATCAGCAGAATGTCCCCGCTCAGAGAACTGACTGCTTGATGTTTCTCTTTAGAAAGTGCCCTCTTAGAGAACAGACAGGAGGAGAGGTCAGGGTGGACTGGTAGTACATGCTCGGTATTCTCTTTGAAACCAGGTTAATGACCCAGAAACAGCAGTCAAGGAATTAGAAACACTTTTGGGTTTTACACTGAGAATGGTTGTTCCAAACACTTGCCCTGTGAGAAAGACAATGGGAATTCCGGAAGAGTCCTTGAAGAAGTACCTCAGAGGCTTACTGGGTACCCACACCACAGGTATTTCACCTCTTGTATTTTGGTCACTCTTCGCAAGGCCAGGCTCCCAGCCTGGTTTTTACTTTCAAAGCCCAGTGGAATATGCCAGAAACAAGGAAGCAATGTGGTGAGGAAAACATCATCAGGCCTAGTGTGTCTGAGTGCTGCTTCTAGTTTTACTTAGGAGAAAGCAGTCCCCTCCTTTTCTATGGATCCAAAACCCTCACCCCGTCTCCCATCTGAGGGTATGGTGTGGCTGCAACAGCCTGCAAGGAGCACGGGGATCAGGGATCGCAGGATGTGCTCAGAGGAGCATTTCTGTGTTTCTAACTTTTGAGACGAGGGGCAGATGACTTGAGAGTTGCATGGGTTTCAAATGGAACGAGCTGTCTCCATCCTTTTGAAGGTCCCACTCTCACGCTTCACATTCCACCCTCAGAGTATCAGGTGCCCTGTGACCATCTGAAGAAATTCCTACTTGGTGATAAACTTTCAGGAGCCCTGGTAGCACTAGTTAAAACACTCTGCTGCCAGCTGAAAGGTCGGTGGTTGAAAACCCACCAGCAGCTCTGGGGGAGGACGATGAGGCAGTCTGCTCCCGTGAAGAGTGACCGCCTTGGAGACCCAGTGAGGAAACTCTCCTCTGTCCTGTGGGGTCGCTGTGAGTTGGAATCTACTCGATGGTAAGGGGTTTGGTTTTTTGGTTGGATAAAGTTTTGTCTCAACCTCTTGATCCTTGAAAAAAGATTCGTTATTTGGGGAGCACGCTGCTTGCCAGTGACTGGAGCCTGGGTGGTACTCCACAAAGCTGAGGGCAGGCCCACTTGGCCAACCTCCATTTGCTCTCCTGACCAAGTTAAAGGCATCAGTGTCCAGAATCCAGTCTTGTAATGAAGCAGTGGGTTAACTGGCTTTGTAGCAGCCAGGATGCTTCTGCAGGGAGCCAATGAACTCAGCTGAGTGGGGTGGGGAGTCGCGTCTTCTGAAGGCGATGGGCTCATCCGGGCGGCCCCTGCATAGCTCCTTTCACTGCCACATCAGTGGCAGGCAGGTCTGGCTGTGCACAGACAAGGGCAGTGTCCATCCTCCGTCACGAGGACGGGCTGCCACAGCTGGCGTGCACTTGACACCCCCAACTGAAGAGCTGCTCTTCGTAGTAGGATTCGGCCAGAAGGACAGAAACAAACACTGGACAAAGCAAGGGACGTGTGGTGTCAGTCACAGAGCATCAGCCACACTGTCGCAGCTTGTGACTCGGCCCACATTGGCACTGGGGTCCAGGACTCGGCCACTCCGGTACCCAACGAGGAGGAGCTTTGCTTCCAGGGAGTTCCACATGGGAACATCCTACCTCCTACATGAGCACTCACAGAAAGAAGGGTTCTCTGCCCAGCTCCATCCTCCAGATCGGTTTGACTTTCATTTCCAAACCCTGCAGGTCCGCTGGAACTTCTCCAGTTCGGTCATGGGCAGTCAAACCCAACTTACTACATCAGGCTGGCCGACCAACGGCTGGTTCTGAGGAAGAAGCCCCCGGGGAAGCTTCTGCCACTGGCCCACGCTGTAGAGAGGGAGTTTAGGTAAGTTCTCAGGGCCCCAGCAACAAGCTCAGCACTGAGTGGACAAGTCAGCTGCCATCAAGTTGATTCCAAGTCACAGCGAACTTATAAAACAGTAGAACTGCCCCGAGAGGGTTTCCCAGGCTAATCATTGCAGAAGCAGACTGCCTCCTCTTTGTCCTGTGGAGCAGCTGGTAAGTTCAAACAACTGACTTCGGTTAGCAGCATCAGTGAGCACGTGAGCACTGTGCCACCTGGGCTTCTAAGCAGACAGGTTGACACTGTGGAAAAGTGCCTTGAGACATTGAAAAATACATTTATGACTCTTAGAGTTACTTCACATAAGAACGTGGAACATAATTTTGTTCAGAAGTTTGTTTTTTCTATAGATTGGACTAGACGCTTCTAGAACTACGAGATGAAAAAGACGGTGTTGAGATAGACTTTAGTCATAAAATCAATACATTAATGGGCCTGTAGATAAAATGTGCTTGGCTGCTAACCAGAAGGTGGGTGGGTCAAGTCTGCCCAGAGGCCTGGTGACCTACTTCAGAAAAATCAGTCGTTGAAAACTGAGGGGGGGGGGCAGTCTGCTCTCACCCACACGGGGGCGCCAGTGAGCATCGACTCCACGGCTGCATGGCTTGAATTGGTAACTGTTGACGCTGGGTGGTGAGGACTGGGGCCTCATCATACCATTCTCCTCACCTACTTTTATGTATGTTTGAAATTTTCCAAATAGTTAAAAAAAAATTTTTTTTCCCCTTAAATTTATTCAATGTAGTTTCTTTTGTAAATAGAATGTTTTAAACTTAAAACTTGGAGGGTAGAGTCCCCTCAGAGGTGGGCAGCCTGGCAGTGTTCTTCTCAAAAGTCAGTCACTGGAAACCCTATGGAGGGCAGTTCGAGTCCCACCCACCTGAGGTTGCCATGAGTCAGGGAGACTCGGCAGCAGCTGGTTTCGGCAGGAACATCGGAGAGAGTGTGGAGGAAAGTAGTGCCGCACACTTGTTCTTCTTGCTTAGTATCTCTCCTTCTGACGCTCTGGTTCCTAGAATTTGACTTCTCCGAGTGCTCCATGGACTGGTGATTACTAAACCTTATAGGTTCTTTGGAGGAGATGACCAGTAGCTGGTTTTGGAGTCTTTATATACGTGCATAGCTAATACCGTGTTTGTATTTGTAGGTAGAGAGACCCTAAAAATGTAAGGCCACCACTCTGTGTTTGTAAACTCCAACTACTTCCAAAACTACCGAGGAATTCTGGGGTGCCAGGACGACATTCACAACCCCCACTAGTGCATACCAATTCCATTTTAGAATGTGCACTTGAGTTGAACATGCATTGAGGATAAAACATAATATAGCTGATGAAAATGCCAAATGTAAATCTGAACAGCTGTTCTGGAAGAAGGAGCTCTGGTTGCACAGTGGGGAAGGCATGTAGCTGCTAATCAGATCACTAGTTCAAACCCACCAGCTGCTCTGTGGGAAGAAGATGAGGCAATCTACTTCTGTAAAGATTAACAGCCTTGGAAACCCAGTGGGGGGTGCTATGACGATAGCAGTGCGTTTGGTTGTTTTGGTTTGGCTCTGAAAACAGCAGGACACAACTTACTAAAAGCTTTAGTGTATATATACCTTTAGACCAAATCATTCCAATCCTGGGTGTCTATCAGAAGGAGGTAAGGGTAAATAGGGGAGAAAAGCATCATGCATTAATATACTCATCCCAGTGTTGCTTATAATACAGTAAGTTCCCCAGGGTTGCAAGTGTCTGACTTAACGGACAACTCATACTTGACCTTTAATCTTACATAAATTTGCCTTCACTTTGAAATGATTGCACCAACCCCTACTTGCAACAAATTCTTCACCATAGTCACCTTTACTTCCCGCATGTACAGCTTTTAAATCATTGAAAAGGCTTTGAGCTTTTTCTTGTACTAAAACGAAACCAAATTCATGTCCTCGAGTCTATTCAACTCATAGCCACCCCTCCTTGGGTTTCCAAGGCGGTATTTCTACAGAAGTAGATTACCCAACCTTCCTTCCGAGGAGTAGCTGGCTGGTGGGTTGAACCGCCAGCCTTCTGGTTAGCAGTCAGGTGCCTTTAGACATTATGCCACCAGAGCTCCGCATCTGTTCTAATTACCTACAAATTTGACTTAAAAACACACATAGGAATGGATCTAGCTTATCACTTAGGGATTGACTGTAATGAAAAATTAGAAATACCCTCCAGGTATGGTAATAGGGGAATGAACCCATCGTTGTGGCCAGGAGGATGCAGTGTGCAGCCTGGCCACCTATCTGGGTCTTGTGCTCATCCGTAGAACCAGGGGTTGAGTCAGCCTGACTCAGACCATGTGGACTGACAGTGGAGGAGGGCTGTTTTTCAAAGGACAGTTAAGGTGTTATCAGAACATGAAGAAAAACAAGGACACAGGCAAAAACTGTAGCCAAGTACTGATGATAAGACTGGGGCCTGTGGGTAGCTATTTTTCCATTAATTTTTCTGCCCTTAAATGTTTGATAGAATTCACCAGTAAACCATCTGAGCCTTGAATTTTCTTTGAGAGTTTTTTGCTTATGAATTTAATTTCTTTAATAGATACAAGGTTATTCAGATATTTTATCTTGTGTTAGTTTTGGTTAAGTTGTAATTTTTAAGGAATTAGTCCTTGAAAATTTGTCCATCCAAGCTGTTAAACTTCTTGTTGATAATATTTAACAATATTCCCTTATTATCCTTGCTATGTAAGCAGGATCTGTAGTGATGGCCCCTCCTGGCATTGACTGATAATTTGTGTTTCCTCTCTCTTTAGTCATGGTGGGGATTTATCAATTGTGTTGATCTTTTTGAAAAACCAGTGTTTGATTTTGTTAACTTTTTCTGTTGTTTATTTTCTGTTTTATCCATTTCTGCTCTTACTCCTTTCCATCCACTTCCTCTGCATTTATCTGTTTTCACCTTAAAGTCTTACCTCAGTCGTTGATGTTAAATCTTATTTTCTATTAGCATTTAAAGCTATAACTTTCTGTCTAAGCATTTCCTGAACTGTATTCCACAAAATTTGGCATGTTAGATTGTCATTGTTGGTCAATCTGACAAATTTTCTTATTTCCCTTGTGATTTCTTCTTTGACATACAGGTTCTATAGACGTGTATTTCCAAATATTTTAAGTTTATTCTAGATATCCTGTATTAATGATTTCAATTCCATTGATATCTGAGATACTAGGAAATTTACTGAGACTTAGACTTAGTTCATGGGCCAGCACATGCCTCATTTTGGTGAACCTAGTGTGTGCACTTGAGAAGTGTGTGTATTCTGCAGTTGCTGGGTGATGTTTTATAAATGGTAATTAGGTCAGGTTGGTTGGTAGCACTGTTCAGAGCTATGTCTTCACTGATTTTTCTTTTTTGTCTAGTTGTTCTACCAGTTGAGAAGTGGGTATTGAAATCTCAATTATGACTGTGGTCTTGTTCATTTCTCTCTTTAATTCTGATCATGTTTGTTTTGAGTATTTTGAAGCTCTATTATTGGGTGCATACACATTTATGACGGTTATGTCTTCCTGAGGAATTAACTTCTCTCATTTTGGAACACTCCTCTTTGTTTCTGGTAATACTCTGTCTTGACAGCTACTTCATGGCTAGTAGTGTAGTTATGCCCGCTTTCTCATGTGGTGACTGACTGCATGGTACCCCTGTTCCTTCATTTGCAGTCTCTCTGGGTTTTTATATTTAGTGCATTTCTCTTGTAGGCAACACATGTTAGGTCTTGCTTTTCTGTCCAGTCTGACAGTGTCTTAATTGGAGTGTTTAGTCTATGAAATGTAACACAGTTACTGACATTTAGATTTTGCTATTTGTTTTTTGTTTGTCCATCTGTGTTTGTCCATCTTCTTTGGGTTAACTGGATACTTTTTAGAATTCCATTTTAATTTCTGCATTTACTGATTTCTAAATCAGAAAAATAATTTCAGGGAAGTCTCATCAGGTCAGCCAGTAGTTGACATCATTTTTATTTGTTCCGACAGGATCATGAAAGCCCTTTCCGGTGCTGGAGTGCCTGTCCCCAAAGTTCTTGACCTCTGTGAAGATTCCAGGTAATGTACAGACTTATTCCCATGATATAGTCAAGGTGTTAGTGGGAAAACCCTGTATATCTACTAACTCATACTGCAGTTTGTTAAAGTAAAAAAGGCAGTTTGAGTAGAAGAGAAGATACCTTAATAGCAACCTCCCCCAGGAGGCCACAGATCTTAGGCAGATATTTCAGTTACACTGAAAGGTAAAGAAATGTCTGTTTGGTGAAAATTGGCAGGAAAGATTTTTTTTTTTTTTTTTTTACATTTGAAAACTATATACCATTTAGTTCCATTCCACTAGTTTAAACTTTGTGTTTGTGTGTGTTTTGTTATCATGGTCTTTCTAAACTGCTTTGTAACATGCTTTTTGAATGTCTGTTTTTCCCTTGGGAGCTCTGGTGGTGCAGTGCCTAAGGCATTTGGCTGCTAACCAGAAGGCTGGCAGTTCAAACCCACCAGCCACTCCTCGGAAGGAAGGTTGGCCAATCTACTTCCAAAGTGATACTGCCTCAGAAACCCAAGGATACAATTCTACGGCAGTGGGTTATTTTTCCCTTAACTTTTTATTTATGAGCATTTTGAAATGTATAGAAAATTTGAAGGGAGAGATAATAGTATAAAGAACACCCATTCACTCTCATCTGGATTGAAACATTGTTAACTTTTTGCCACATTTTCTGTTTATGTGTGTGTGTGTATGTATGTGTGGGATACACATATAAAGGAACCCTGGTGGCACAGGGATTAAGCACTTGGCTGCTAACCAAAAGGTGGGCATTTTGAACTCACCAGCCACTTGAGAAGAAAGATGTGGCAGTCTGCTTCCACGAAGATGACAGCCTTGGAAATTCTACAGGGTAGTTCTACCCTGTCCTATAGAATTGCTACACAACAACACATATATACATACATATATATATATATGTGATTATTTTCTTGGCTGAACCATTTGTAAGTTACAAACACCATGCATCACTAAGAATGAAGACATTTCCTTCCATAACCACAGCATCATTATTATAATGAACTATAATTCTGTATTTCATATCTAACCCATCTCTGACATTCTTAAATTTTATGAAAAAATATCTTTTATAACAATTTTTCAAGTTAGGATGAATTTTCAAAACAACTTTTTAGAGGAATAACCAATTTCTATTAATAACTAAAACATTAATGACAGTTCCGTGGGTCCCCTTGATACTCAGGATGTTATAGGTGTCATTCCTACCACCAAATAGTGACAGAAATAACTTTGGTAACAAGAAGAGGTGGTTAAAACCAGACACTGTTCCAGGCACTCCCTATATATCCACTCCCTTAATTCTGCTGACAGCTGCCCTTTGAAGTATGTACATTGAAAAAACCAAGCTCAGGTGCAAAAGATCATGCTGCTGGTAAGGGGCAGAGATGGGATTTGAACCTGGTTCTCTGTGACTCCAAAGCCCCTGTTCTCCACCATGCTTCTTTTCTCTGTTCTTGCACCTAAACTCATTCTGATGCTGTCTCTCACACAGACATATAGCAAGGGGTGTGTGTGGACTGACGGGTGTGTGGGGGTGGATGGACTGGGGAGGGTACTGTGTACGCCCTGTGCTCACGTGAAAGGAGGAGGGATAGGGCCAGCTGAACTCTTCACCCGTGTGCAGACCACACACGCAGGGCAGTTACACAGGGTAGTGCCATCACTAACAGCCTGCCATGTTACGAATCAGGCCCTGGAAATCCCTGTCTGTGTGCCCCCCAGTGTCATCGGCACCCCCTTCTATTTGATGGAGTACTGCCCGGGTCTCATCTACAAAGACCCCTCTCTGCCAGGCTTGGAGCCCAGCCAGAGGCGGGCTGTCTACACTGCCATGAACAGAGTCTTGTGCCAGATTCACAGTGTGGACCTCACAGCTGCGGGCCTGGGGGACTATGGGAAAAAAGGTGAGAAGAAGCCAGCCTGTCTCCCACGTTGCTTGTTTGCTCTCTAGGGGTCTGCTTTTAGGATCTGCATACCCCTAATGGACACTTTGCTACAGCCTAGCAGGCTTGCTGACTTCCCACCCCTTATTCTAAGTTCCTACCTTGCTAGCACCCCATTCCTGGAACCAATTTTTATATTAGTCAGGACTTTAAAGTTGCAAATTTCAGAAACCCAATCTAAACTGGCTGAATTTTAAAAACAAAGTAACTAGAAAGTCCAGGTATTGGGCTGACATCAGACCCAGCATCCAGGGGTTCAGACAATGCTGGAATCAGTTTCTCTCTGTTAGTTCTGCTTCCTTCTCTTTTGGGTTCATTCTTAATCAAGTTTTTCTACTTTGGTAACAAGGTTGCCACCACCAGCTCCAGATAATCAAACCCGGGCCAGAGAAAGAGCAGCTTGCCCCACTTGGTTCATGGCCCTAGTTCTGAACAAATCACAGGCCATTATGAATTTTAACATTTGTTAACTTTTGCCATGTTCCCTTTTTATCTCTCTCCACACACACACACACACACATACACACACAGAGAGAGAAAGATGTAGAACTTCCTGTGTACCAGGAACAGTCCCAAGGGCTTTTCATATTTTATCCTCCAAACAGCTCTTTGAGGACCATTTCATAAGTGAGGAGACTGAGGCACAGAGAGGTTATGTAAACTGCCTGACATCACACAGCCAAAGAATGGCAGAGCTGGGCTTCAAACCCAGGCAGTCAGCTCTGGCGTCCATGCTCTTAGCCAACCAGTGTTTAGCTGAAGAGGAATTATTAAAACAACTGTTGTTGTTGTTAATTGAGTGCCATGAAGTCATAACGACCCTATGTACAACAGAGCAAAGCACTGCCCTCTCCTGGGCTACCCTCATAATTTCTGCCACATTTGAGCCCACTGTTGCCGCAGTGTCAGTCCATCTCAGTGAGGGGCTTCCTCTTTTTTTGCTCATCCTCTACTTTACCAACATGATGTTCTTCTCCAACGATTGTTCCCTCTTGAGAACGTGACCAAGGTTCGTGAGATGAAGTCTCACCATGCTCGCTTCTAAGGAGCATTCCGCCTGTACTTCCGAGACAGATTAGTTTGTTCTTCTGTAGCCCTCGTTATATTCAATATTGTTCACCAACACCATACTTCAAAGGCATCAGTTCTTCTTTGGTCTTCCTTATTCATTGCCCAGCTCTCACATGCATGTGAAGTGATTGAGAACACCATGGCTTGGGTGAGGTGCACCTTAGTCCTCAAAGTGACAACTTTGCTTTTGAACACTTCAAAGAGGTCTTTTACAGCAGATTTGCCCAATGCAATACATCATTTGATTTCTCGACTCCTGCTTTCGTGGGTGTTGATTGTGGATCTAGAAAAGTGAGACCTCGACAGCTCCAGTTATGAGGATGTTGCTCACTGGTCTGAAAGCTGTGAGGAGGCGCAGAGGCTCTCCGCAGGCCACAGGCTGGGCTTGCAGGCTGTGCAGTGGAACCATGCGCAGACCAAGATTCCCCCTAAGACAAGACAGCTGGTGGCTTCCCTGTTGGGGCAGCAGGACCGTCCTGTGGAAACGTCTCTGGTCCTGGAAGCACTTTTGCAGTAGGTGTTGCACCTCAGACCATTGCAAATGCCTTTGCTGCACCGATGAACTTTCAAAACCCTCTCAGGCTTCAAATTTCCCCACTTATTTCCCAGATAGCTTTTGTAAGTTGTTCTTTTAC